AGATATAGATATAGATATAGATATAGATATAGATATAGATATAGATATAGATATAGATATAGATATAGATATAGATATAGATATAGATATAGATATAGATATAGATATAGATATAGATATAGATATAGATATAGATATAGATATAGATATAGATATAGATATAGATATAGATATAGATATAGATATAGATATAGATATAGATATAGATATAGATATAGATATAGATATAGATATAGATATAGATATAGATATAGATATAGATATAGATATAGATATAGATATAGATATAGATATAGATATAGATATAGATATAGATATAGATATAGATATAGATATAGATATAGATATAGATATAGATATAGATATAGATATAGGCCTTTATCGATCTGTGTGTATGTATGTCTACATATATGTAGGCCTATGTAGATATTTTTTTGGAGTATGAGGAGTCGATAAATGATTTTGAGAATCTTACTCAAAAATATTTCTTCTATTTTCTCCATATCTTTACACTTTATATGTGGATTATTTCTCGTCGCGCTGAAATAACAATACATATTTTAAAAATTAATAACTCAAGATTAATAACTCTTTCTTTTTCTTCTTCGTTCTAAACTGGTTATGCGCCATAGAGGCCATTCGTAATGACGTGTCATTTTAAATGTACACATATTTAAAACGAATGTCTGATTCAGAGGCGTAGCGACCCTACCCGGCGCCCGGGGACAAACTTTACGATTTGCACCCCCCCCCCCCCTCGAGATTTTTATTTGCACCCCCTCCCCCCTCAAACTTTCAATTTGCACCCCCCTCAACCTTTCAATTTATTTTTCCAACCCATTTTAGCGCCCCCTAAGCTCGGCGCCCGGGGACATATGTCCCCCCCTCGCCCCCCCCCCCTCGCTACGCTACTGGTCTGATTAGCTATTGTTAACTTTAAACAATGTGCTATGACTTTTGGTTATGAAACTTAAATCAAGTAAATAAAAAAACACAAGTATTGTGTATATTTTTGGGGGGGGGAGGGCTTCGCTCCCCCGTTAAAAATTTACCGCCCCCCCCCCCCCCCCCGAACGAGGTTGAATTTATATAGAAAATGTACACTTTTACTAGTGTCCGCCCCCCCCCAGAAAAATGTCGACCCCCCCCCCCCCCCCCACCACCGAAAATATCAAGCGCTCCCCCGGAAAACATAGTCTGGAAGAAACACTAGTACATATGTTTCTTGACCTCAGTATGTGAAGGGATAATGTGGTCATCACTATGCTCACTATTACTGTTAGAGTCAGAGCTTTGTGGACTCAAGGACAAAATATTTACTTTAACCTGGATTCGAACTCGAGTTTTGGGTTAGCAATAAACTCTACCGCTATGCCACGCCGTCGTTTGCTATATAACTTGCAACGGTTCAAATTAAAATTACATGGCAAAATATCGCAGGATAAAATATAATATAAAAAGGTCTAGATCTAGATCTAGATTAGATTCTAATTATTTATTATAAAGAAATGTAATTTGATTATACTAACTTAATTCAAATAGATCTTAAGATGAATCAGCATCCGAAAAGAGGCAGGAAGATACAGTCCAAAAAAAAAACCACACAACTTATTATTTACAATTTAGAATTATATCTTATTTAAGGACATAGAATCTGGATCGAAGTGGCAAAAGAAATGAATTTAGTAACAAACATTTCAATTCTTCCGTTCTGTCATTGGGTTAAATAAGTTCAGCAAAGTGCTTTTGTGGTTTGTGGTGCGCACAAAATAAATTCTTGTTGCCATGAAAACACTCTTTAAAAACATTTTCTTTTTATTTATTTAACTAGACGAACTGTTATACTTGGATAACTGTGGGTTTCGGAGGGGGGGGGGATCTCCCTAAATGACGTCACGCTTGTTTGACGATTTTTAATCTTTTATCTCCCTTCAACACTGCCACACATCTTAACAAAAAGCCAGACCCTACATCTAAACCACCTCAGCCAACATCTTTTATACTTTCTAAAACTCCGATGTCGACTGAGCTAGGGGCCTGACCACACTATTTCATCATATGCTGAGGTCAGAGAAACAGATGAACTCTGCTTTACCTGCCACGTGTCCCGCCAAGTCCCAAAAGGCAACTTTATCATTCACATCTAAAAAGAAGTCACACCTCAGCTTATTTGCTTTTGTTTTTTAAAACATCGATTTCTTTCTATATTTTCTGTGCTCGAACCTCATATTAATAACAAATGAACACATTATTAAAACTAACGGCAAACTAATAATAATGAATTAAAACGTTTGCGTTATTATCCAATTAAAAATTAAAACAAAAATGTAACACTAAAATGATGTGTTTCGAACCCATACCCTTCACCAATGTCATCTTGGCCGGATAGACACATTCCATTGAATGAAAATATTTCCTATTTTTTTATGTAATCTCCGAGACCACTCTTCGCCATAAAGGAAAACTACGCCGAATATTATTTAAAATTAAATTATATTCCAATGAAACCAACTCCATAGCTAAGAAACAACGATTTATATAAAATATTAAGGCCTGTGTGATTGCCCTAGATTGGCCAGGATTCTAGATCAACTGGTACACCGACAGACTAAAAATTGCTTAAGTCTAGTATACGTCTAATTTATTGGTAGCTCTAGATAAATTCATTGCATTCTCGAATTAAATGATCTGTGAATCGTATCCTGTTAAAAAATGATTATAACACTGGAACCTAATAAAAATAACAAACATGCATATCGTAATAACTATGATCTACAGAAAATTTAGCTTTATAATGCATTAATTTTTAAAAGGGCAACCTGGTCTGAGTTTCAGTGGAAGCCATAGTTGTGGAAAAAAAAAATACATAAAGTATTTGTTATTAACTTGTATAATTAAAGGATTGTTTCTAACTTTGAATAAATCAGTAAATTAATTACCGTCTATAAATAAATGTGTGTTTAGCATTTTGGTTAAAAAGAATATTGTTCTCTACATACTTATTTTACTGTTATATACATAGTGCAGATGCTGATCAACCAATACAGACAAACACATAAATATACAAACCTGAAAATAATAGTTAAATTTAGCAGAATAGCCATCGGTACCCGCTACACGTGAATTATTGGTCTATATTTTTAAAATGTTAAATTTGCGTTAATTTGTAAGATTGTAAAAACAAGACTACATGCTAAGTTGGAGGTTGGTGTAAACTAAGCCGTCACGCCAGTTGGAGGTTGGTCAAATCTAAGCATTCAACGCCAAGTGTTTGCTATGATACAATATAGTGATAAAATACCATCCGTATAAGCTGACCATACTAGTAGAATTTTGTATTGTAAAATACCGGGAGTATAGTGACCGCAAATACGAGCAAACAACCGGACGGTCTGCTGGAAGAGACAGTCTCAGTCAACATGCCGGAGACCGGTACACACCTTCTCGGTCAACTTAACAGAGTGCGATGGTTACAATAAACAATAATATGAAACGGATCAGTAAATATTTGAATAAAGCATACTTTTTATGGCCTAAGATGTAAAATATTATATATTGAACTAGTATTTTACCACTATATAAATTTTACTGTTCTCGTCACCGGCCATTACGGTATGCCACATTTTACATGAATATTTTATCTATTAGTATAATAATAACAAACATTTCAATTCTTCCGTTCTGTCAGTGGGTTATACATCTTTCTGCCATACATCTTTCATTCAAAAATGCAAGTAAAAATTAATACATCTTAAAATATTATGATCATATGCTAAAAGAATAGATTTTGTTATAAGCTTATCAGCGCAGTGGAGCGTGCCAAAAAAAATACCCGGTAAGTATTTCATTATTAGCAATATGCACAGACTTCCAGGAGAGAAGCAGCAATTACGATTGTCGCACTCAAAGATGGCGTACTTGTTTCAAACAAAATGGTGTCCACAGGTAGCACACGAGCACATAACAGGTTTGAAAGGTGCTAGTGACTGATTTAGAAAACGGCCTTACATTAATTTCTATTGTGCGATACGCCTGAAAATCTAGACTAGTTTGAAATAAGAATTATAATTGTTCTCATTATTTAATGGATTTAAAAAAAAAAAGCCATGCGTAACGACACCACATTGTTTACAGGGACGTCCGCTCAAACTCTCCACAAATTTCATTATCAACCGAAAGAAACGTTTCCCTGGGTGACATTAACCAATGCGACAGCGCGCTTAAAATGTACAACTACATCACGTGACGAAGTCGACCTGTCTACATCGATGTATGATGTACTTTAGTTTCAATATTTTTAGCGCAATTTCCATACTGGACAATTGCGATTATTTTTATTAGAACAAGTTTTCATTTTCTTTGATTATTTTGAAGTGTTTCGTCATTAGTGCAAACTTGCAGATGGAATTTTTCTCATTTCTACCGTACCATGAATCAAACTAAATTTGAGCATTAAATTAATTGCCATGCACTCATTAAGATTTATAATCTCCTCTCAGCCAAATAAAGGCGAAGTTATTTTTAGTTGTTTTTTTTTTTAGAAATTCTATAATTTGCCTCATCTATTTGTTATATTTTCAAATGGCACTTTTTGAAGGATGAAAATAATTATATCTGTATTAATTTTGAAGCGCAGATCTAATTAGACGCCTTTGTAAATTTTATTTTATATATGTTTTGTTTTAGATATTGTATTACGCTAATAATCAATAAAACTATTTATAAAATGGATGTATAATGTAATGAAGGCAGTTACTAAAAGTTTGTTAGCGAATCACGCTTTTCTTTTTAATAATTTAATAGTGATGTATTTTCTTCTTTTTGGTGCATATGTAAAAGCTCGCTTGTATTAATTTTAATCTGGTTACGTTGGCGCAGGCCTATAAGGCGTGCATACATTTTATTAGAAACATTGGTGCGTTTTTACACTGACGCATTAGTGTTGCTGTAGAGAACACACAAAAACACAGGTGTTGAACGCAGCTCAATATTCAAAACACCAATGGCGTTAACATAGAGCCCATCAAAACAGGTGAAGTTATTTAAGGCAGACGAAAGTGTTTAAATAAATTATGAATATGTTTAGGGCCTTTTATACTAATCAAAAACTTGTATTTGATCAGTTAGAACTAGATCTGGCTAGAATCGCTAGTCAAGTCTCCACCACAAACGATAATAGACTCTAGATCTAGATCAAAACCGCTATAAAAAATATTTGCTCTTTCGGGACCTTGCGATCTGTTGGGCAGATAAGTAGTTCACCTGTTTTACCAACCACGATAACCTCAAACTATAATTTTCACTACTAGATTAGATATAGCCACAAAGAATGGCTAAGGCTAAGCGACATTAAAAGTTATGGGAATATAACGGGAGTGTAAACCCCTGGCAAGTTCAAACAAGTTGGGAATATCTGTGTGGGTCGCAGTAGCGTAGCCAGGGGGGGGGGGGACATATGTCCACGGGCGCCGACCTTAGGGGGCGCCAAAATGGGTTGGAAAAATAAATTGAAAGTTTGAGGGGAGGTGCAAATCGAAATCTTGAGGGGGTGGGTGCATATCAAAAGTTTAAGGGGGGGGGGGGGGTGCAAATCGAAATCTTGAAGGGGGGGGGGGTGCAAATCGAAAAGTTTGTCCCCGGGCGCCGGGAAGGGTCGCTACGCCTCTGGTGGGTAGGGATCGATCAAACAAAAGCCAGCACCCTGGGCTCCAGGTTATGGGTGAACATAAGGCTTATTTCGTAGAAAAAAGAAAGAAGAACCCACAGAAACAAAACCAAAAAGCAATACAACTTTTTAAAACACGGTTAAAGTGAAGCAGTACTCCAAAGTATGACAGATGCAAATGAAACCTGCTACTGCCATGGGGGACTGCCGGAAAATTGCAGCTTTTTGTGGTGGCCCCATGTGTATTGGGAACAAAAAAGGAAAGATAGTTGTCTAAACGTTAGCGTCGCTTCGGGTGCCTAATTGCTAGTTAATAAATAATGTAATATGGAAACTGCCAGTTTTGTTGCTAATTATTTTTTTAGTCCTGATGAAAAACTTTTTTTTCTTCAACACCTTCAGCCATTGGTAAAAACTAAAGAGTACCGGCCAATGAAACGAGCTGTTACATACAGAGTCGTGTCGGCCATCCTCTTATGTTTGTGACCGTGTGGACAATGGTACTTGCCCTGATCGACCGTGCATGCATCAGAGATGGGCTGTCTCTCCACTAAACCACCCCCTTCCCCAGCTAGACCGGGCACGCCGAAGCGGGTGAGCAGTTAACGTAACCCTCACACCCAACCCTAACAGCTGCACTATTGTAACCCTCACACCCAACCCTAACAGGTGCACTATTGTAACCCTCACACCCAACCCTAACATGTGCACTATTGTAACCCTCACACCCAACCCTAACAGGTGCACTATTGTAACCCTCACACCCAACCCTAACAGGTGCACTATTGTAACCCTCACACCCAACCCTAACATGTGCACTATTGTAACCCTCACACCCAACCCTAACAGGTGCACTATTGTAACCCTCACACCCAACCCTAACAGGTGCACTATTGTAACCCTCACACCCAACCCTAACAGGTGCACTATTGTAACCCTCACACCCAACCCTAACAGGTGCACTATTGTAACCCTCACACCCAACCCTAACAGGTGCACTATTGTAACCCTCACACCCAACCCTAACAGCTGCACGTTACACACTATTTCTTTACTCAGCTTTCCCGTCAACGACAACTTGTTTATTTCTGAGTCGTGCAATGTGTACAAAACTTGCCGTTATTGCTGGATCATGCATCTTGTCTAAAATAACTTGCCATTATTCCTGAATTCTGCATCTTGTCTAGAATAACTTGTCATTAATCCCGAATCCTGCATCTTGTCTAAAACAACTTGCCATTATTCCTGAATCTGCATCTTGTCTAAAATAACTTGCCATTATTCCTGAATCATGCATCTTGTCTAAAACAACTTGTCAGTATTCCTGAGTCACGCATCTTGTCTAAAACAACTTGCCATTATTCCATTATCACGCATCTTGTCCCCTGCAGTCCATCTCACCGACCCTGCAGCGGGCCATGCCACCCCCCATTGGAGCCTGTGGGAACCAGAAACATTTTTGTATTGACTCCAAGGGCGAGTCGGGCGTGCACATCTACATCTTCACAAACTCTGACGTCAACAAACCAAAGGTGAGCACATCTACATTGACGTCAACAAACCAAAGGTGAGCACATCTACATTGACGTCAACAAACCAAAGGTGAGCATATCTACATCTTCACAAACTCTGACGTCAACAAACCAAAGGTGAGCACATCTACATTGACGTCAACAAACCAAAGGTGAGCACATCTACATTGACGTCAACAAACCAAAGGTGAGCACATCTACATTGACGTCAACAAACCAAAAGTGAGCACATCTACATTGACGTCAACAAACCAAAGGTGAGCACATCTACATTGACGTCAACAAACCAAAGGTGAGCACATCTACATTGACGTCAACAAACCAAAGGTGAGCACATCTACATTGACGTCAACAAACCAAAGGTGAGCACATCTACATTGACGTCAACAAACCAAAGGTGAGCACATCTACATTGACGTCAACAAACCAAAGGTGAGCACATCTACATTGACGTCAACAAACCAAAGGTGAGCACATCTACATCTTCACAAACTCGGACGTCAACAAACCAAAGGTGAGCACATCTACATTGACGTCAACAAACCAAAGGTGAGCACATCTACATCTTCACAAACTCTGACGTCAACAAACCAAAGGTGAGCACATCTACATCTTCACAAACTCTGACGTCAACAAACCAAAGGTGAGCACATCTACATTGACGTCAACAAACCAAAGGTGAGCACATCTACATTGACGTCGACAAACCAAAGGTGAGCACATCTACATTGACGTCAACAAACCAAAGGTGAGCACATCTACATTGACGTCAACAAACCAAAGGTGAGCACATCTACATTGACGTCAACAAACCAAAGGTGAGCACATCTACATTGACGTCAACAAACCAAAGGTGAGCACATCTACATTGACGTCAACAAACCCAAGGTGAGCACATCTACATTGACGTCAACAAACCAAAGGTGAGCACATCTACATTGACGTCAACAAACCAAAGGTGAGCACATCTACATTGACGTCAACAAACCAAAGGTGAGCACATCTACATCTTCACAAACTCGGACGTCAACAAACCAAAGGTGAGCACATCTACATTGACGTCAACAAACCAAAGGTGAGCACATCTACATTGACGTCAACAAACCAAAGGTGAGCACATCTACATTGACGTCAACAAACCAAAGGTGAGCACATCTACATTGACGTCAACAAACCAAAGGTGAGCACATCTACATCTTCACAAACTCTGACGTCAACAAACCAAAGGTGAGTTGCTTGTGTCGACCTGACATAGAAAAAATTAAATTGGTGCTTATGTTCGTATGAGCGACCGTTCGGTTCGTGTGCAAAATGTTAAAAAGCATACCGAACTAGAGTTGGCATTACCAGTGGCGTAGCCAGGATCGTCTCAAGGGGGGGGGGGGTCCAATTTTTACCCAGGGACAAACCCCCCTCAAACTTTCGATTTACACCCCCCCCCCCCTCTCAAACTTTTGATTTGCATCCCCCTCATACTTTTTATATATATACCGAGGGGTCTATGGGGGGGTTATGACCCCCCGTAACCCCCCCCCCCCTTGCCTACGCCACTGGGCATTACAGGCAAGATATAAACAAAGCCGAACCGGCCCTGGCTAGAAGCAGACATCGACTAGTACCCAGTGTAGGCTGTTTTTAGGGTTGGTACCTTGTGAAGGCTGTTTCTTAAGTCCGTTACCCGATGTAGGCTGTTTCTAAGCACCAAAAACGTTAAATACTTAGAAAAGTCATACGAAAAACAAACAATGAAGTTTTTTATAATTACTTTGTTTATTCAATAAATGTGAAATTTTAAAATTAAAACACACAATCTCAAACTTGAACTCTATTTAAATTTAAATGGTTTACCTTCATAAAAAATGTTTTTAAAAGAGAAAACGGTTTAATAACACGCTTTCATGTATGCACTAAATTAAAAAAAAAACGATTTATGATAAACTAGCCGTCCCGGCCAGGCCCTGCACTGGCATCTCTGAAAAACGTATCTGTAAAGGACCATAACTTGTGTGTTTAGTAATCAGCATTTACCCGGCATTGCCCACCCTAACCACAACCAACCAAAACACACAAAAAAACGCAAACATAACGCTAACACAAAACAAACACAAACGAAAACACAAAAACAAACGCAAAGACAAACCCAGCCACAATCACAAAGAAAACACAAACACTAACGCAAACAAAAAAGCAAACGAAAACAAATTCAAATCCAAACGCAAACACAAACCCAACCACAACCAAACAAAAACCAAAACACACCAAAAAAAACAACGCAAACATAACACAAACACAAACAAAAAGAAAACACAAACGCAAAGAAAAATGCAAACGAAAACACAAACGCAAAGAAAAAAAGCAAACGAAAACAAACCCAAACTCAAATCCAAACGCAAACACAACCACAAACGCAAACCCAAACTCAAACACAAAGAAAACACAAACGCAAATATAAACTCAAAGTGTCCACAGTCTAGCTGGGGGCGTCAAATCGCAACATGACGACTTGCGGCGTAACCGCCTGATTCAACTTAGTAAACGACTATAGTACCCAACTTATTCATAGTCTTTTGAACTCACTTACGCGAACGTAGGTACCATAGCGAATACGGGAAGGCCCGGGGCGCCAAATAGCACCCTGTTGGGGTGCCAGAGGACGCCCGGATTTTATTCACTTAAACACTATAGTAACCTTTCTTATTCATAGTCTATCGCACTGTTCAAAACGAAATTATGCACCAAAGCGCTCACAGGTGCCCAGGGTGCCAAATCGAACCGTGGAGGGGCGCCGGCGGACGCGCCTGTTTCAATTTAGTGAACAAAGTTACAATACTCCAAGCTTATCCGTAAATGGAAAGAATTAAACATATAGGATTTGTAGGACCTGGCTTATTAACTGTTATTAATTTAAAAAATAATTAGTAAACAGTACGTTCAGTGCATGGAATAAATAAAAGGCAGTATTAAAAATACCAACGACATTGCACTTAATCAATCCCCGCTAATTATATAATTTTTTTTTCTTAACACCAAAACAAAGTAATAAAAAGTAAATTCTTTCTCCCCCCGATTTAATGGTTTTTTTAAAGGGAAGTAACTGTGTTTTCCAAATCAAGGGACGTTATGAGAACTAAAGGACAAAATGCAAATACATTTCAGACACAATTTTAGAAATTTTATAAACTTTAATACACTTTTTTTAAAATTCTATGTAATGTTCATAATTGAAAATTATTATTCTAAGTAAATGAAATGAAAATTGTTTTTAAAGACTTTCAATAGTATTTTTTAACTCATAAATTTAGACCATGAACACTATAATAATCTAACACTTAAATCCATGGAAGTATCGATTTTTTCGTGTTTTTTTTTATATTCCTTTGTAATCCTCAATTACAAACATTATACAAGCATACAGAATTGAACTTTATATATAATAGATATATTATATAACCACGCATAATTTTTTTTTAAATATAAAGAAGAGCGTTACTTTGATCCAATAAAGGTATTCAATCATATAGCAACCCGCGCTTAACAAAAAAATAATAGAGGAGTCAAGTTAAAAATAAGCTTGTAAATAATAAACCGGGAGTGATCTCCCTAAACTTTCTCGAATATTATTATATAACTCGGAGTATAGACATATTTTTTAAGTACTTAAACTTTAAAAAATAGAATAGAATCTCGTAGAAAAAAAGAATTGCGCACCAAGCGAAAGCCAAAACAAAATGTGCATAATAGTGCGCAATATTATTAGTACTTTATAAATTTACATGCGTTTTTTGAGAAATCGGAAATAGCGTAAGTTAGTACTTCCGGTCAACGGAAATTACTCAAAATTTGACAGGAGGTAGAAAATTAGATCTTTTACTTACATGTGAAATTTCATTTATCTATCTGAAATAGTACTCAAGTTATAGGCTTTTGAAAAATTCAAAGTAGAAAAAGTACCACTTCCGGTTATCGGAAATCGCTCAAAAGTTGATCAGGATCTACGAGTTTGATAAAATACTTATATATGAAATTTCATCAACCTAGCTGTATCGGTACTCAAGTTATCGTGTTTACATACAGACAGACAGACATACACACAGACATACGGACAAGATTGCAAAATTATGTTTTTCCGTATCAGTGAGGTGTAAAACGTGGAGATTTGTAAAAATATCGATTTTTTTTTTTTTGCACGATTACAAGACTTTCTCTATACTTCGTATATACGAGAAATTAAAAATCTGATGTTTGTGTCCATTACAGTAATGATGCGCTAAGCATGTTACACACTATTTACGCACCAAGTGAGCACTGTGTAGCACTCTCGTGGCGCGCCCAGAGAACGGAAGAGTCGAGACCTGTGGTGTGTAACTTCATCATCATTTGATTTGTTTTAAAATGTACTCAAGATGGATTCACGTCAGTTGCTTTCGTTTTCTTCTCTCTGTCACCTGTCTCAATGGGGGGTGGGAGGGGTGGGATGGGGGCTCTGGTGTTTGTATAGCCAATGAGCTGAAATAAAATATCGCACGAAACAGCCATATAAACAAACAATAACACAACAAAATAAGTTTTAAATTTTAGAGTTTGAACGTCGGGTACTTTCACACAAGAAAAACTGACTGGTGCATTAGTACTGGTGTGTTGGGTCAAAGTTCGAGTATATGTATAGGATCAGGGTTGGTTGAATGGTCTATGCTAAGATTCTGTGTTGTGAATGGCGATTAGGATCAGGGTTGGTTGAATGGTCTATGCTAAGATTCTGTGTTGTGAATGGCGATTAGGATCAGGGTTGGTTGAATGGTCTATGCTAAGATTGGGTTGTAGGTCCTATTAGGGTCAGGGTTGGTTTAATGGTCTATGCTAAGATTCTGGGTTGTGAATGGCGATTAGGATCAGGGTTGGTTGAATGGTCTATGCTAAGATTGGGTTGTGGGGTTGCTAAAAGGATCAGGGTTGGTTCTGGGTTGGGTTTCTGGTATTGCTACTGGTATAAGACACCACATGTGTCGATAAAATAAACACGTCGGCAGGACATATTCGCCTCTTATTTTGTCTATCTTTAAATCTAACCGTAGTCTGAACTTCAGTGTTAACTCTAACACTACCTCCTTACCCAGTGCTAACTCTAGCCCTAACATCGACACCATTCAGTAAACACCTAGCGCACTGTCGGTGTTTTAACAAACACCTTCTCTGTGATAGTCTGGGCACTATGACCAGCGAAAGTATCGTTTAACATTGCAAGAGATTATGCTGGTTTGAAAAATTTCATTTTTTAAAAAGCCCATCAAGGGATGCAACCTATTCTTCATCTAATGATGCAGTTATTTCCCTTCCACCTTATTTTAAATTCCGATTTGCTAGTGATCAACCCATAAACATTGTGAAGAGATGTTAGTTTTTATCATGGATTATTTCAAGTATATCTTCTCCCTCCTCCCTCACCTACCACAACCCCCCCCCCCCCCGAAATACGTCCACCACCCCGCCCCCCACAACAAAACTGAAGAATAAAATAACCTACGTTCCTCCCCTTGGAAATTTTAAGTCCTACCCCCTAAAGTTGCATCTCCCCCTTCACCGAAAATTTCAGCTCCCCCCCCCCCCCCACTCCTTTCCTGGCTACGACGTACCTCCCAACCTAGTGTATGTAGAGGGATGGGATGGAGGGGCTAAATAAAACGTTCTATAATTCTGCATCAAACAACCAAAGTGCTAAAATAATTTCACGAAGGTGGGTTTTTTTTTTGGAGTTTGTTTTACAATAAACATCATACAGAGACTTTGATAATAAAACGTGCGCTAGCATTTTTTTTTAATCGAATAAGACTTTATTATAAACTTGGGGATATTTGTCTGTTTTATAAGACTTTATTAAGAACCCATTAAAATGGGACTTTTAGCTTTCTGTATTATAAGACGTTATAAACTATAACATATTAAACATAGAACTTTGTATGTCTGTCCTACAAGACAACTAACTGCAACATTTTAAACATGGAACTTTTATTTTTCAGATGGAAACTAGAATCTGAGCTGCACGGGATTGTTTTTGGGTTAGCCGTCTGGATGACGTCATAATGCTAGAGAGAGAGGTCGTGACCTACAGGAAGGATGGGATGCGCCACAGGCAAATTGACAAAGCCGCCAGTTAAAAAGGTAGGTCACAGGTGTGGAGCTGTCCAATAGGTTTGAAAATTTGGTTCCAAAAGGTTCCAAATTTTTGTCGCCATGTCCTACATGTCATCTGACATGTCCTACGTGTCATGCCCTACATGTCATACGACATCCCACCTGTCATGTCCTACATGTCATGTCCTACATGTCATCTGACATCCCACCTGTCATGCCCTAATGTCATCTGACATCCCACATGTCATCTGACATCCCACATTTCATGTCCTGTCATCTGACATCCCATCTGTCATGTCCCACATGTCATCTGACATCCCACTTATCATGTCCTACATGTCATATGACATCTCACCTGTCATGCCCTAATGTCATATGACATCCCACATGTCATCTGACATCCCACATGTCATGTCATGTGACATACCACATGTCATGTCCTGTCATCTGACATCCCACCTGTCATGTCCTGTCATCTGACATCCCACCCGTCATGTCCTGTCATCTGACATCCCACCTTTCATGTCTAACATGTCTTCTGACATCCCACATGTCATCTGACATCCCACCTTTCATGTCCAACGTGTCTTCTGACATCCCACATGTCATCTGACATCCCACATGTCATGTCCTGTCATCTGACATCCCACCTGTCATGTCCTGTCATCTGACATCCCACCTGTCATGTCCTGTCATCTGACATCCCACCTTTCATGTCCAACATGACTTCTGACATCCCACATGTCATCTGACATCCCACCTGTCATGTCATCTGACATCCTGTCATGTCCTGTCATCTGAAATCTCACCTGTCATGTCATCTGACATCCCACCTGTCATGTCATCTGACAGACACCGGGACAAGTATCAAAGCCCGCCACATCAGATACCAGACACTACTACATCGACTCTGCCAGCAGCGAGCAGGGCGTCCACATCTACATCTTCACACAGGGCCAGAAACCCGTCCAGTACCAGCCTATTGCACAACCTGTCCCGGCCAGGCCTGTTAGAGAAGGTCTGCTATAGTCTCTATTTCTCTCTCTCTTTCTTTCTTTTTTCTATCTTTCTCTCTTTCTCTCTTTCTCTATCTCTCTCTCTCTTCCTCTCTTGATGTCTGTCACTCTTATTTTGTTTTGTGAATTCGTGTCTAAGTTTTATTTGGATGTCAGAGGTCCAGAAAACACCTTTACACTGAGTTTCTTCCGGGCATCTCTTCCGGGGGGGGAGAGACGCCTGGAGATGCCCCCCCCCCCCCCCCCGCCCGCCCGAAATGGAATTTAGATAGAAAACATATACTGTTACCAGTGTCTGCCCCCACCCCCTGAAAATATCAAGTGCCCCCCCCCCCCCCGGAGAAAAAAGTCTGGAAGAAACACTGCCATTTACACCATATAAATATGTGTGTGTGTGCGTGTGTGTGTGTGTTTTAGTGAGGTATGGTGAAAAGAATCACTTAATATGAACCACTACACCACATAACAACTTTAAAATTAAGAACTGGGTTGATTATACACCAATCTGATTGTATACCATAACTGATGCACTTAATGAGCCACGCTGTTGTGTTGATCTGATTGTATACCATAACTGATGCACTTTGTTGTGTTGATCTAATAATATATCATAACTGATGCACTTAATGACTGTGTTGTATTGATCTGTTTGTATACCATAACTGATGCACTTGATGTGTTGATCTGATTGTATACCATAACTGATGCACTTTGTTGTATTGATCTGTTTGTATACCATAACTGATGCACTTAATAACTTTGTTGTGTTGATCTGATTGTATACCATAACTGATGCACTTAATAACTTTGTTGTGTTGATCTGATTGTATACCATAACTGATGCACTTAATGACTCACGCTGTTTCTCCACCAGAATTTATAAACATCGACAAGGAATCGGCCGTGGACGTGCCCACAGGGCCGGTAACTCTGCATGTTCCAGGCGGCTCCATGGCGCCCTCCCGTGCCCCCAGTGCCGCGCCCTCACCCCGGGCCAGTGTTGCGCCCTCATATGGCGGCAGCCACGTCGGCTCCTCGGTAGAGCCCCCCAGAAAAGGGGGCGGCTCCCACATCACGGAAGACGACAAGTCTGCGGCGTCCTCTCCCGTGAGTCGTGTGTCTGTTCATACAGACAGCCCGCAGAGGTCGCTGGTGGGGAAGAAGTGAAGACAGCAGCTGTCCTGTTTTCTTCAAGCCCTGGGGAGGGGGCAGGCCTACCCGAGCTGTCTTTATTTGAAAAGTCAATGAAGTAAATAAATAGCTTTCCATCGAACACTGTATTGCTTGTGTTGTTAAATGTTGAACGTGATTACACTGTATTGTACTTTATTATATCCTTGAATGGATGATCGGTTTTGAGAATGGGTAAAGGTGTCAACTTACCAATAGTGTAGGCAGGTATTAGGGGACACATGGACCCCCAAAATGACAACTATCTCACGTTAATATCACGCTATTTTCAACAGTTAGCTCATGTCATTTTCAAAATGTCAAATGTCATAAGACATACGTCATAAAATCGTTAAGTAATATAAGTTAGTTTTTTTTCTTGACTAAATATCTTTACCAGTAAGCTAATACACTAGCATGCTATCAGCATAATGACCTACTGTCACATAGCTATCAGCATAATGACCTACTGTCACATAGCTATCAGCATAATGACCTACTGTCACATAGCTGTTAGCAAATGACCTACTGTCACATAGCTATCAGCATAATGACCTACTGTCACATAGCTTCCATAATAATGACTAAGTATCGTACAGCTACCAGTTAAAAAATGGTCTGAACCCATTATCTAATCCCTGCCAATATATTGATGTAATTTGGAAACATATTTCCACCATAAACTACATACGGTTATAATATTTTCTCAACCAAATTATAAAAAAAACATAATTTCAGCGTTTTTAAAAAATAAATCAATATTTATCTCCGCCGATTAAACGTCAGCCATCTTGAAACCAATCAAGTAAATTAAATTTATCGACTCTTTCCTTAGGTAAAAATAGTGGGAGCGTATATGTTGAAATGATTAGAAAAAGTAGTCAGGTACAATATTAGTGGTGTTGGTAGTGATGAAAATCGATTGATTTCTTGATTTGTAATTTGGTGGTTAGCGTGAAAATACTGTCAGTATGACACCGTGGTTTGTTTGACATCACGGTTAGTGTGAGTACCGTTACAGCTAGGTTGATGAAATGTCATATATAAGTAATACATTGTAGGTCTGTATCAACTTTACGGCGATTTCTGATAACCGGAAGTAGAACTTATTCTATTTTTAGTTTTTCAAAAGCCTTGTGAAAATCTCGATTTCGATTTTTTGCACGATTACTATACTTCCTCTATACTTCTTAGACGAGAAAGTAAAAAATGATACATTCTCGCATTGTTATTGGAGATGAACGTATCTAAAAAGCTGTAATGAAATCGCTGCATTACAAGATGGTCAAAATTGAGTTACAAGATTTGCCACATCCCACGAACAAACAAACTCCGCCACAACATATTTTTGATAGACGAATTAACCAATAACAAATAGATCAACGCACACACAAAACTGGAAGATCTACATTACAACATTTCAACTTTAGGTTTATTTCAGATAAATATTTCCTAGTTCGGCTTCAAACAATCACATACCGCATGACCTATATGCTTACAGATATGTGTACTTAGCACGTCGTACACCTACATCACATATACATACACTATGTAACTATGGTCATATATACACACAGGATGTACAGCTTCATATATACATACATTATGTGAACTAAAACTATACTTGTACATTCAACATATGTTCATCAATGACTTATTAGTGCTATTACAATTTGTGTGTACTAATCGTATCTACAATATGCGTACATAAATCATACATGTTACGTAGGTTATATGTCATATTATTTAGTACACGTAAACATATGGGTTTTCATCAGTTAATATGTGTAAAATTACAGTTAAAACATCACGTCTTCTATAAAAGTATGAATGTTTGTGTACATACGTAAGTGTACATAAATATATTCCAAATGAGTACATACATTTATACAATTTAACATGAAATTCCGCTGTCTACATACATTGATTTAAACGTATTGCGACTAAATTAAATCTTTTAAAACTAAACTCAAAATACATAACATGAAATAAACATAATAGTACTCTCTTCTAAAAATAGAATTACTGTACAGGTCAGTAATATAAACACAATCAAATCATTTTATTGCTATATCGATTCTTTTGTATCCACAATCTAAATGGCAGAATATAACTTGTAAAGATAAAGACCAATCTAATCCTCTTTACAATTGAGAACAGAGTTAAGATTACGAGGGAGGTACCTAAGGTAGACAGCTAGTGGCGCACCAAGGTAGGTAACTGATTGCACTAAGGTTGGTAACTATGGCACGCTAAGGGAGATAATTATTGGCACACTAAGGTAGGTAATTATAGCCAGTGGCGTAGCGAGGTCGGGTGTCACCCGGTGTGGCACTTAATGGTGTCACCCCCCAAATTTTCGATTTGCACCACCCCCCCCCTCAAACTTTCGATTTGCACCCCCCTAAAGTTTCCGATTTGCACCCCCCCCCCTCAAACTTTCGATTTGCAACCCCCCCCCCCCCCCTCAAGTTTTTCTCTATATATTTTGCTATTTTTTGCCTTGATGTCACCCCCTAAATGGCGTCACCCGGTGCGGTCCGCACCCACCGCACCCCCCCCCCCCTCGCTACGCCTCTGACTATAGCATATGCACGAGATTTGAATCAAGAGTGTAGTTCAAATGATGACGCGAAAAAAGCAATTAAGAGGTGGAATTTTAGATTTGAATGAGACGATTCATAATTGCAGCAATAAATAACAGATGGTATCGAGTACAATATTCATATAAAGATCCTCTAAATACAATCAACATATACAGATATGCATATATATAAAAAATTATATCCTTCTATTTATATTATGTCCATCTGATTACACAGAGAATCACATGATTACAAAAACAGAATCACATCATTTGACATCTTGACTGTCACACTTTTCATAATTTCCTTTGATGTCATTATCCAAATTGAGATGTCACATCGGCCGTGTCATTTTCATTTTTCTTTTTTCATGTCACCTGTCACTTAACACTAACAGGGTGTCACGGCTTCAGGTACGTCATCTGTCACGTCACACGTCATGCGTGTCACGTCACATGTATTCAGATACAGGTATGTGACACGTGTCACGTCACATGTCTACAGATACAGGTGTGTGACACATGTCACGTCACCGATCACGTGCGTCATACTTCCCGTCAGTTGTGTGACGTCTACGTGTCTACACATAAAGGTATATCACCAATGTGACGTCACCGGTCACGTGCGTCCCGTCGCCCGTCACGTGACTACAGATCCAGGTAGGTCACCTGTGTGGCCGTCATGGAACCGAGGAAACTCAAGATGGCGCTGGCGATGATGACGGCGGTGGTGCTGTCGACGGCCGTGACGACGGTGCCCATGATGAAGGAGAGGACGAACTGGGCCAGGAACACCATACTGCTGATGATGGCCACGTCAGTACCCAGCCCTCGCACCTGTTTCCTGTTGCCGTACATGTCTTCTCCGTGGGAGAACTGGAGAAAGTTTCATTTAAAATGTTATTTACTGTTCTTGTTAAAAAATTAAAATAGAGAGTTCTTTAAATTGAATTTTATTTAAAATGGATATTCAATATAAATATGCTAAAAGGAGTAACGTTTTCTTAGTATTCGTGTTAAATAAAACAGCTGTCTGTGTAGGTAGCCCGATGGTGATGATGTGAAATGAAACCGCCGATAATTCTCTTCATGGGGACACCACGCAGCTTAGCCACCACCCTTATCCCCACCTGTCAAGTGAGCTGTGGTTCACCCTGAATGTTTACAATAGTAGAGCCAGTTCGAATAAGTGACGGATAATATGGGTAGATAATTTAGTTTGTAATCGATTTGAAACTAAGGGGAGATAATAAGTTCTGCTTGATATGTTCATTGTAGTCTGTAAACGGCTGCTTTCACTAGGCGGGGTAGGGGGGGGGGTGCGGGAGGCAGGGGGTGGGGTAGTGCCGTATTCACAAATTATGAATTGTTGATAAGTAGAAAATAAAACAACTAGAGGCGTATGGCCTATGCTACGTCGCGGGTCAGCACAAATTCTGTACAAGGCACGTTGACATCGCGTTTTTCAAGCTTTAGCCCCGGAGGTATGATGTAAGTTCATAGTTACCTGTTAGTTTATAGATATCAATGCGATCTTATTTACCTGTTCTATAACTAATGCTTCAACTCATCACAAAAGAGTAAATAATTGAGCGGGAAAAAATTTTATGCAATGAAGGTAATTTCGTAGTTACAGGAATTGTATAAGTACCCAAACCTAAACTAATATTTAAATGAATTTCTTATGAGTAATGTAATAACTATAGGTTAGAAACTTATATTTATGAGACTGAATTTATCTGGAGAGCTAAAAAAAATATCTGCGTCAGAAAATGAGTTAAAATCGAGTTCAAGATCGGCCACAAAAACTTAGAACTTGGCTATAATTTAATTTGCCAACGTTTAAACACGGCATATACTTTTTTAAACTAAGGAAATAAGAAAATGCTTATATTATGTTATTCATTGCTACTGTCTCTAACAAAAAAAATCTTAATTTCATCCATAAAGATTGTCCTAAAAAATTGGAAAACAATAAAGTGGAGATTAATCCAAACAATAAAAATCAATTAATGTTTTGAAATTTTAAATACATCTTAATAGAACTTTTTTAACCGAGTCAAAAAATTGTTTTGAGGGAATGTGGGGCAAAGATTCGAGATCTTAGGACAAAAAACACAATCAAAGAAGATAATTATTTTGTTCATTGGGAACATTTTCTGAAAGAATCTTAAGCCTCAGAATTTTTTTAAAAATTATTTTATAAACGATGAATCAATAATAAACCACAATAAGCATATAAAGTATGAACTTTTGGTTAAAATCTGCTTTGATGCTACAAAATCAACTTACAAGACCTCTGGTGTGGTAATGTGCCACAAGCAGGTAGGGCATGGTGAAGAGGGTAGCGTACATGATCCCTGCGGCAGGTGACAGCAGGATCACTGCCACCTTACTGCGAGACAGGGCCATGCCTGCCATACCAACAGTAAACACGAGTTGCCCCAATACGTACACTTTTTTTGCCCCTGTGGAAAGGAAACATTAGCAGGTCTCAGTACACTCAGTCAGTGTATCAAGGTCTCAGTACACTCTGTCAGTGTGTATCAAGGTCTCAGTACACTCAGTCAGTGTATCAAGGTCTCAGTACACTCTGTCAGTGTATCAAGGTCTCAGTACACTCTGTCAGTGTATCAAGGTCTCAGTACACTCTGTCAGTGTATCGTCATGAATGTGAGCAGGTCTCAATACACTCTGTCAGTGTGTATCAAGGTCTCAGTACATTCTGTCAGTGTGTATCAAGGTCTCAGTACACTCAGTCAGTGTATCAAGGTCTCAGTACACTCTGTCAGTGTATCAAGGTCTCAGTACACTCTGTCAGTGTATCGTCATGAATGTGAGCAGGTCTCAATACACTCTGTCAGTGTGTATCAAGGTCTCAGTACATTCTGTCAGTGTGTATCAAGGTCTCAGTACACTCTGTCAGTGTATCAAGGTCTCAGTACACTCTGTCAGTGTATCAAGGTCTCAGTACACTCTGTCAGTGTATCGTCATGAATGTGAGCAGGTCTCAATACACTCTGTCAGTGTGTATCAAGGTCTCAGTACATTCTGTCAGTGTGTATCAAGGTCTCAGTACACTCTGTCAGTGTATCAAGGTCTCAGTACACTCTGTCAGTGTATCAAGGTCTCAGTACACTCTGTCAGTGTATCAAGGTCTCAGTACACTCTGTCAGTGTATCAAGGTCTCAGTACACTCTGTCAGTGTATCGTCATGAATGTGAGCAGGTCTCAATACACTCTGTCAGTGTATCGTCATGGGTGTCTTACTAGTCTACACCGAGTTGTGGCATCACTAAACGTTGATAAGAGCAGGTGAAGTTGAGTTTTTCTGAACATGAAATGTAAAGATACCCACCCACCCCAACCCAAGCTAAGTTGTATATTATTGGTTTTAAGCAGTATGATTTTCTACTATTTTAGAGCAATATACTTTTCTACTATTTTTAGGGCAGTATACTTTTTTACTATTTTTAGAGCAGTAGGCCTATACTTTTCTACTATTTTTAGAGCAGTATACTTTTCTACTATTTTTAGAGCAGTATACTTTTCTACTATTTTTAGAGCAGTATACTTTTCTACTTTTTTAGAGCAGTATACTTTTCTACTACTGTTTGAACAGTAACCTCTATCTTCTAATTTATTTTAACCCCCTACCAAAAGTGGTGCAACACTAAACTCACATTCTCACAAACGCAAATGACACACAAGCAAGAGCTTTGGTGTATCTATTTGGTGTAAGTCTATTCCTGCCAGATCTACGGTTTTAAACTGCCAGACTACCACCTGCCACATGTAAAGTTTTAAACTGCTAGACTACGATGCTATCACCTTCTATTCCAGCAACAAAGTTTTAAACTGCTTGACTACCATCTATCATATGTAAAGTTTTAAACTGCTAGACTACCACCAGCCACATGCAAAGTTTTAAACGGCTAGACTACGGTGCTATCACATGTAAAGTTTTAAAATGCTATACTACCACCTGCCACATCTTAAGTTTTAAACTGCTAGACTGAGGAGAAAGTCAACTTACGAAACCTGTGGACCAGCCTCTCGATGCCCAGTGAGTAGCACGCACATGAGAGTGAGTACAGAGACATGCCAAAGCTGCCCAGTCTCACCCCAGCGTCGTACTTGTCATGGAGGTCACTGCCCTCTGGTGCCGTGGGGTCACCTCCATACACGGACTGGCCTGAGAGCAACACACACACACATGGTGTATCAACACACAAACCAGTCAACACACAAGCACACAATGTAGGGCACCAACACACACATGGTTTAACAACACACAAACCAGTCAACACACAAGCACACAATGTAGGGCACCAACACACACATGGTTTAACAACACACAAACCAGTCAACACACAAGCATGATGCATTAACACACAATGTAGGGCATCAACACACAAACATGGTGATTCAACACATAGATGGAGAATCGATACACAAGCACGGTTTATCAACACACAAACATGGTGAATAAAAACACAACATAGGGCGTTAACACATAAAAGAGGTTTATCAACACACAACATAGGGAATCAACACATTAAGATAGAGAATTAACACACAAACATGGTGTATCAAAAGGCAAACAGGTTGAATCAACACAAAAAAAGTTGGTGAATCAACTCACGAAAATGTTGAATCATTATACAAAAATGACAAACATGGTTTATCAACACACAAACATGGTTTATCAACACACATACATGTCTTTTTTTAAGATACAAACACGCTGAATAAACAGACAAACGTGGTTCTTCAAGATACAAACATTGTGAATCAACAGACAGACATGGTGAATCAACAAAGATGACATAAAAGTTGTAGTGAGTAAACAAATGTGCTCACCTACAAAGTCTGTGAAATACAGCGAGTAACAGACCAAAGACATCCAACACAGCAGGTTACACAGGCACAAGACCCACATCGACCTTGGCATCTGAACTATTGACCTCAGGTACGTCCTCAAGGTCACGTCTGTTGACACCTCCACCGTCTCGATCTTCTCGTTGACCTGTGTGACGTCACCGTTACTGACCGCAGGTTTAGAGTACGGGTTTATTTCATCGTCGCCTAGCAACGTGTTCGACACGACCGTGCCGTTGCATTCCACAGAATTACTGGACTTGGTGGATCCTGAATCCACCGGGTCGTTGTTTGATGGATCCACCGTGGAGCTGTTTGTGATGTGGACGGGTGGATCCCGAACGCGCCGGCTCTCGGCGATTAGAACCGGCTCCTTATCCAGCTTGTACGGCTTCTCTGCCGGCTTTCTAACGACCGGTCCGGTCAATGTGAACGGGTTGTGTGAGACTTTGTTTAGGTTGGGCAAAGAGTTCAGGCTGGCCACTGGCTCTTGCTTGGGGCCCTCGCTGTTTAATTTCGCCGAGACGGCCACACCGTTGTCTGCCTTGTCTTGTGAGCTTAATTCCAGCGCCCGTTTGCTCAAGACGTCGTTTGTGTTTGTCTCAGAAACGGCTCCGTACCTTGTTGAGTTGGCTCCTCTCTCTACCCCGTCCGTGCAATCCTCTTCAGACGACGAGTCTTCGTTGGTAAACTTTCGGTATTTAGATTTACCAACTTTCTTTTTACTGCGCTGGGTCTCGTTTTGCTTGATGTTCAACTCGGAGAGCGGGATTTCCCGAAATGACGTCAGCGTTGAGATAACGAACGCGATGAACGCTATGAGGACGATGGAGAAAACCACGCGGATATGGCCGCCTAACGCCTCACCGAAGCTGGTGGCGTTCCAGTCTATTCCACCCATGATGTAACCAACCGTCCCACCCAGGCCCGCCATGACGGTGAACATGGTCAAGCCGGTGGAGTGGTCTTCAGGCACGCAGATGTCCAGCAGATACGCCCTGCATGGTGATTGACAGGCGTCACAGTTGAAGTCAAGCATGGCCACGCCCACTATCGTGAAGATGATTCCCCTCAGGTGTCCGGGAGGAAGGGAGAACGATATCCCCATAGAGGTCTTGCTTGCCAGATAAATTGTTTCGTTGATGACGCCAGACGAGGCGTTCCACCCGGGGTAGGAGTTGACCGTCTCGTTCCCCGTGTCGCCCAACCATATCCCCAGAATTTCTCCGTTCGGCACTAAAGCCAGTCCTAGGATAATCCCAATTGACATGATGATGATGAATGGCCGCCGCCTGCCCAGCTTAAACCCACACCTGTCACTCAATGACCCCATGATCGGCACCATGAAGAACCCCAGCATCGGGCTCAGGCACCAGATCATCGTCATCAGAGACGGCGGGACCCCCAGCTTCAGCAAGATAGGGCTGACGAACGCCGTCTCGGCCGCGTAACACAGCTCTATCCCGCACACAGCCGCACTGATGCGCACCAGCTGCAGCTTGGTCTTCCTGAGGGGCGCACCGGTCTTCTCGTCATGCTGCTCTTTCTGTGTCACCAACCCGGCCAACCCCAGACCCACGTACTGGACATACGGGTTGCTTTTTACCGCCTTTAACGCCTGCAGAATCCCGGCGTCCATCTTGGGTTGGTTTGAAGTCTCTTGACCCGAGCTTAACCACGAGCAGGAGTAGAGCACGGAGCACTCATTGGGATCAAGGTTGGGGTCACCGACATAGGTGGGTTGTGCGACGGTGCACGGTTTTATGTGGACGCTAGGGTCGTTGTTAGGGTATGACGGGTAGACATGGCTCACAGTTGGGTTAGCCGTACCATCCTTCACGCTGATACTGGTAGTGCTGGTACCGTGGGTGTGTGGAGGCGGTGGTTGGTTGTCTTCATGGTGGGCTGACAGAAGGAGAGAACTCTCAGGGTCGTCCTAAATAAAGGAAAAATGGACCATAAAAATTGAGCATAAAAATGGATCATAAAAATGGAGCATAAAAATGGAGCATAAAAGACTGGATCATAAAACAGTATATCGTAGAAATATGAATAGTAGAAATGTGGATTATAAAATTGTGGATGTTAATAAAAATTGACTATTATTAAAATATCATACATTTGATCATTAAAAGGTATATTTTATAAAGAAATCTTCATTTAATTCTAAAAATAGCTCTTTATCCCAGTTCTCATCGCCTTTAAAAACCTTTAATTTTTTTCTACTACATTCTGTTAGGTTTAAAGATCAAATGCTTCGCTTGTCGAAACTCCTGTAGGACCAATAAAATCCGTATGGGACCATTGAAACCCACATGGGACCATTGAAACCCACCCCACATGGGACATATTCGCTACCAAGAACAATTTGGCTTATATTTTTTGATAGGAGCGAATTCGACTGTATTCTCTAGAGATAATGAGAACAGATTTCTAGTTTTACTTGCAAAAAATGATTTTATTTGAACCCCAAATGTAACAAAGAACGTCTGCTGTATGACATAGCCTTGACACATGTTACCTTAAGCTCCAAGAGCTGAATGTATTTGACTTCACAAGCACCAAACTGCGTCACTTATTAAATAAAACCCAAACCCGAGACTTATCAATTAAAAGCCAACCCAGCTATCAAATAAAACCCAACCCAGCTATCAATTAAAACCCAACCCTGAGACTTGTCAATTAAAAGCCAACCCAGCTATCAAATAAAACCCAACCCAGCTATCAATTAAAACCCAACCCTGAGACTTGTCAATTAAAAGCCAACCCAGCTATCAAATAAAACCCAACCCAGCTATCAAATAAAACCCAACCCAGCTATCAAATAAAACCCAACCCAGCTATCAGATAAAACCCAACCCAGCTATCAGATAAAACCCCCAACCCTGATACCCCTAGCACCATAACTGGACCCAATCCTCTGGACATCGATGCCATTAATTGCTGGTAGTTATCCGCCCAATGACGCATTCATTGAGGTGCTTTCCCCAACAGAAAAATCTGGCACAGGCTTAGACACGTGGGGCGGAATGGGAAATCAGCGCTCAGTATTAATAACCGTTTCTTCAGACCGGATCTGTCACCTGATTGGACAGCCAACCAGACAGCTTAGCCAGGTGGCTGGCCAGATTTGATGCTCTGCCAGATTGGCTGTTAATTCTGTACTGTCTTAGTTAGAAAGGAAGCACGTCATAAATGAGTTATTTTTTTGTTGTAAAAAACGTGAGTACTACGTCATCAAGATAGGATATGAAGTAGTCGAAATGAGGAAATACAACGCCACCACATGTTAATTTACGGGGCTTTCTCCATTCTTAATAAATTTAGTTTCAAAGCAAAAATTGTCTGTCTTTTATTTAAACCTACTTCTTATTTTTTTTCCTCCTGTAATAATTGTTGTTGATGTCTATTCGTACTATTTTTACGGCACATGCAGGCCTACACAAATTTCCTTGCCGATGTGGATTCAGTGTTTCTTCCAGGCATCTCTTCGGAACGGAATGGAATTTATATAAAAACATATACTTTAAACCAGTGTCCGCCTCCCCCCGTGCCCCCCCCCCCCCCGAAAATATCAAGCGACCTCCCTTTCCCCCCCCCCCCCCCCTCCCCCCGGAGAAAAAAGTCTGGAAGAAACACTGTGTGGATTATGATTAAATAGTTTTATTAGACTTTAGTTAGTATTTGTTTTTTTTTTTACCAGAACTTCAGAGTTTGGTTTAAGTTCGGCTAACTTACAGATGTATGTTATTACATTTTGTGCTCAATTTCACAAACCAGACGTCAAATTATTCCACGAACCAGACGTCAAATTATTTCCTTTAATCCCTCACCGATCTTCATCTTTGAGTGTCGAAGCTTCTGGAAGATTCGAGACGGAGAGTTTATCGAGGTGTCAACTGACGCGAATATGAGCTCACACAGGGGCCCACAGTGTTTGATCTGACAGTCTTTGATTCGGTGATTAGATTGTCGGTTGTGGAAGTTGGACATTCAACAAAAACATAGACATTTAGAAGGTAGATATTCAACAAACATATAGACGTTAGGAAGTTGGACATTCAACAAGTATATAGACGTTTCAAAGTTAGAAAATTGAACAAAACATAGACGTGTTGTTAATCTCTTCTTCTTCTTCTTCTTCGTTCTTAATTTTTAGTGTTGATGGGGATCGAGATTTATCTGCCAGTGGGTTGAACTCGAGACTTTGTTCGAATTTATCAACCATGAGCTTTTTGCCGACTCGACCACGCCTCCAACACAATTAAGCGGTACGTGTCAACTGGTTATGCGCCGTTGAGGCCATTGACTCCGATTTCAGCCTGCTTTTCTTTTTGGATTTGCTTCCATAGCCTTAGTCCAACCAAGAACAAACTACAAGGCAGCAGTTGTTTAATTTTGGAGTTGTCTCTCCTAGACGAGTGGCTGTCTCCAGCTAACGAGCCTCATCTGCCCGAGGGTTCGAACTCGAGACTTTTCGGTTTAGCAATGTTGTTAATCAAGCAATTAAGTTTTGTATGTTAACAATGATCGTACAAATAGCTCTCACCCCTAACTGAATGCTAACAATGATCGTACAAATATCTTTCACCCCGAACTGAATGCTAACAATGATTGTACAAATAGCTGCCACCCCTAACTGAATGCTAACAATGATCGTACAAATATCTTTCACCCCTAACTGAATGCTAACAATGATCGTACAAATAGCTGCCACCCCTAACTGAATGTTAACAATGATCGTAAAAATAGCTGCCACCCCTAACTGAATGCTAACAATGATCGTACGAATAGCTGTCACCCCTAACTGAATGCTAACAATGATCGTACAAATAGCTGTCACCCCTAACTGAATGCTAACAATGATCGTACAAATAGCTGCCACCCCTAGCTGGATGTTCCTTTAACAAGCAGACGGCGACTGATGTTAAAGATACCCCGGGGGTGTCGGCACTGTGTCACGTGACTCTACCAGCCTTGGAATACTTCTCTGGGCCGTCATGGCTATAAAAACATTCGGAAATTCCCGAATGTCCAAAATGTTTACTGAAACACTCTCGCGTAACCCGGAAGTTTACGGTTAACTTTTTGTTAACAAATCTAAATATAACAAGGAGACACCTACAGAAAATGTCATCAAGAAACCCATTACATTTTCTTTTAAAAAAAGGTTAGAAAATTTGTCTCTATATTTAGCTTTTGTAAAAGATGCAGTCTGGTGCATTTTACTTTCTCAGACACAGAATACAGGAGTTATGTGATAGTACACAAAATTTGTTTTACACCTAAGTCGGGAAAATGTGTGTCTGGGGGGGGGGAGACGATAACCTGAGTAACGGTTTAGTTAACTTGACCAAATTTTATATATAAACATTTGATCTACTACATAGGTTTCTGTCAGCTTAAGGGCAGTTTCCATCAGCCGGTACTCAATTTTATTTCAAATTTCTCAAAACCTTTCAGAATATGATAATTTTTGTATTACATTCTCATAAACCAACATATTCTAAAATCTTATACTAGAATATTGTCTTGCTGTATGACAAGCATATACTGGAAGTATTGTATTGCTGTTATAATGTGTAGCAAGTTTGTACTAGACCTAATGTGTCTTGTCGTATTGTGTGAGAACTTTCAGCAACAAATTAACAAATGTGAGTTTTTTGTTTGTTTACATTTGCCGCCATCTTTCTTGACGTGCGTGACTGATGCTGTGTCCGGCGTTGTTTGTTGGACGTGTGCGGCTACAACAACCACTGGGACAAAACAATGTCGACCCGGACAAACTATGATGGATCAGCCTAGCACATCTGGCAATATGTTCCATCTCTCGCTCCACACAATAACATAAAAATATAACTAGTGGCTTCTCTAACATACTAGATCTATATCTAGGTGTATCTAGCCTATCAGAGATGGGTAGCTAGTCACCATCGTGATTCAGGGATTTTTACAATAATGAAGACATTATGTTTTGTTCAATAGTTAACAATATTAACAAACTCTCATATTAATATATGTGATTGTGCGTATGTGAGCATAAAAATGTGTGTGTTTGTGTGCGTGTTTGTTTGTTTGTGTGTGGTTGTGTGTGTGTGTGTGTAACTTAAAGACTGACAATCAAGCGGTCTTAAAATAATTAGTTAAAGACACCATCCATTGAAGACAAACGCAATGTATGGTGATTAATTAGATAAATTAGAGAACAAGTTATTTATTTATAGATTGGGATTAGTTTAAGTTAAATGGATAGTAGGAATAAAGTTTAGATGGATATTTGTCTGTGTGTATAATATTTGTACTTATGTTCGTTTTTTTATTTTTCAAATTTTCTGACTTTACGGTACAGTACATATAATTTTAAAATAAAATAAACGTGTTTCATAATATTTTATATTGTTTAGTAAAATCATAATTGCAAAAAATCAAAAATAAAATAAAGTTAATCAACATTTTTTTTTATTTAATCAAGTTACTAAGTCCACACTTTAACAAAGCCTATACATGCATGTATTTATTTGGTTTAATTTTGTTGTTATAGTTCTTGAAGAAACTAATGATAAGTCAAGCCGAACAGACAAAAAAGATTAATCAAAAATTGAACATCCCAAACTCAATTAAAGTTTCAAAGTTGGTCAAAAACACAAATGTATTGACACGTCAACAACTGTGGCGTGTACAATATCCATCATGATTTCAACATACTTCAAATCCTGCGAGTTAATTTTAAACTTTTCCTTTATCGAGGCTAAGAAATCTAACAGTGTAGCGGCCGTTCAACGTGTTTTTAAGAGGCTAAAGACGACATCTAGAAGATAAGGTTACGGGCCTTCCTTTTAAAATTCCAGAGTCGCCCTGGACGAGAATATATGTGGCAGACGGCACAAAAAAATG